AAGGTTGCAGTATGCTGTAATCATGCCACTGCACTCTAGCCTGGGTGACCAAGTAAGACCTGTCAAGAAAGAAAGAAGAGAGGAAAGGAAAGGAGAGGAAAGGAAGGAAGGGAGGTGGCAAGTTGTGTCCGCATCTAGGGATAGATCCAACGAAGCTTAGAGTCTGTGTCAGGATTTTCCTGAGAGCAGCACTTTGCATCCAAGACAGATCAGGAAAGTGAAAAACTGAAAACCAGACAAAAAGCAAAAACCAGTCAAACAAAAAACATAATAGAATGACTGAACACTTCCAAGAGAGGCTGGTACTTTTTCCACCTCAGGGCATCTGGTCAGTGCAGCTTTGCTAAGTCTTCTGTTTCCAGAAGTACTCACTGTTACTCTTTCTTTTATAATGACATGTTCTCTTATTATTATATAAACAGTGGCTACCTACAAACTATAACTGCAGTGAATGAGCAAAGTAAAATATAGTAAGAAAAAAAATCACCTGTAATTCTATCCATACTCATGTTAAACTTTGGTGTATCCTTCCAGTCCTGTGTGTACGTGTTTTACTAAAAATGAGATCATATTGAAATGATTTTTTCAGAAAACAGTGAGAAGAGACTTCCCTTTCATAGTCGATGGGAAACAAGTGTGAAGCTGCCGAAGGCCATTTTTGTTATGACTTGGGGAGACATCCACTGAGAACAAAGGCCCAAACAAAGGACAGATGGATGATTGATGACGTATTTCAGTACCTGGATCCAACGGTGTCTGAAGCCAACAACCCCTAGACTTAGGTAAGGCAGTAAATAAATTCCGTTTTCTGCTTAGGCCGGTTTTAATTTAATTTTTGCCATCTGCAACTGAAAGAGACCTATAATATTCACCAGCCTCATCACAAATATTCTCTTTCTTTTTCCGAACATGCAGTTGGCGTGTACTTCCGTGCTCTCTTTGAAGTGAGGTATGGCCATGAGACTTGCTTTGACCAATGACATGAGAGCTGATATGTGAGGAGTCAGCGCATCCATGACCAGCCACTTACCTCTCTCCATCCGTTTTTAAATTCTTTTTCTTTCTTTTTTTATGAAATGAAGTTTTGCTCTTGTTGCCCAAGCTGGAGTTCAGTAGTGTGATCTTGGCTCACCACAACCTCAGCCTCTGGAGTTCAAGTGATTCTCCTGCCTCAGCCTCCCAAGTAGCTGGGATTACAGGCGCTCACCAACACACCCGGCTAATTTTGTATTTTTTAGCAGAGATGGAGTTTCTCCATATTGGTCAGGCTTGTTTCGAACTCCTGACCCCAGGTGATCCACCTGCGTCAGCCTCCCAAAGTGCTGGGATTACAGGCATGAGGCACTGCACCCGGATTCCAACCCTTTTTTCCTCTCTGTCATAGCAACCAGCAATATTCCAGATAGTATCTTTTCCATCGTCTGGGTCCCAGAGTGAGGATAAGGTGGAATAAAGCCTCCAGCTGACCTGCCATGGACATATATCATAAGCAGTAAATAAATGCACAAGTAAGAAACAAACTCCCATTTTTCAAGTTACTAAGGCTTCTTTGGACTTTTCTGTTAGTACAGCAAAACATAGCCCATCCTGACCAATAATGTTAATAATACTGATGAGTTTAGAGAGGAAAGGGATTCTTGCTTTCTTAATCTGTGTATCTTTTTTTTCTTAAGGCAGGGTCTCATGTTGTTGCCCAGGGTGCAGTGCAGTGGCACGAACACAGCTCACTGCAGCCTCAACCTCTTAGGCTCAAGAGATCCTCTCACCTCAACTTCCTGAGTAGCGGGGACCACAAGCACCCTCCACCATGCCTGTCTAATTTTTCATATATTTTGTAGAGATGGGGTTTCACCATGTTGCCAGGCTGATCTCAGACTTCTGAACTCAAGCCATCCACCCGCCTCAGCCTCCCAAAGTCCTGGGATCACAGGCATGCACCACCATGCCTGTCCTCTGTGTATCATTTAAAAAATCAGCAGCAGCCGGGTGCAGAGACGAGGCAGTGGCTCACACCTGTAATCCCTTTGGGAAGCTGTGGTAGATCACCTGAGGTCGGGATTTCGAGATCAGCCTGGCCAAGATGGTGAAACCCATCTCTACTAAAAACACAAAAATTAGTTGGGTGTGGTGGCAGGTGTCTGTAATCCCAGCTACTGGAGAGGCTGAGGCCAGAGAATCGCTTGAACCTGGGAGGCAGAGGTTGCGGTCGCATCACTGCACTCCAGCCTGGGTGACAAGAGCGTAACTCTGTCTAAAAAAAAAAAAAAAAAAATCAGCAGCATGCATAACTATGTGAATGTACTTAATGCTGCTGAACTGTACACCTAAACATGGTTTAAAAAGTAATTTTTATGTTATCTATAATTTACACAAATAAAACAATTATACCAGCAGTCAATCAGATATTTATTAGGGTCCTAGGGCTAATCCCATGTAAATGGCTCTGGTAGCCAATAACTGTTCTTTCTTGCAATCATTGACCAAACCTTCATTGAGCACCTATAATGTGCCCATCACTATGCTAGGCACTAGGGGTAAAGAGGCTATACTTTTGACCTTAAAAAGCTTCCTGCAAACAAAAGAACATTCATCATAGCTGTTTGCCATCCTGGGACCCTGTTAAAGAAAAAAGAGTAGATCCTTTTGTAATTCACGAGCACGATGATTGGGTGTTCATGCTTATGTGTGAGATGTGCCACCCTCGAACCTCGTTACAAGGACAGCACATTACCCAACTGGCATGAGAAGAAAAAGGAAAAAACAGTAGGCCCCAAACAAGGCCAAATTCCATGTTTCCAAACCAAAACCAAAGTTGTTTACTTGTAAGATCTGATCTTCAAGAAATCAAGAGAGAGATGATAACCAAATCCCATTGAGCCAACAAGATTTCACTTACATTCTTACGAGGAAAGTAATCTTGAAATGATCAATCCCCCATTTGTTCATTGTTCCTGCTTTCCTCTGTCTCTTTCCGCCTATAAAACATACCCATTCTGTCCAGTTCATTGGAACTCCTTTCTATTTTGTAGATTGGATGCTGCGTGGTTCATGAACTGCTAATAAAAGTGAATCAGATTTTTGAAACTGAATTCATTGATTCTTTGTTCTTTGATGACCATCCCACCCCCAATTTTAGGTTCTTTTTCTTTCTTTGTCTATAGATCTATCTACAGTTATCATTAAGCAGCAATGGCTAAAAGCAATTATAGCCATTTGAGAAGCACTTTCTTTCTCTAGTCTTTTTGCCTTGCTCCTCACTAGCACAGTATTTAAGAGGACAGATTCTGGAGTCCAACAAGCCAGACTCAGATCCTAGCTCTATCACACACTAGTTCTGTGACCTGAGCCAGTTAGTTAATTTCTGTGTGCCTCCATTTTCTTGTCTCTAGAATGGGGACACAAATAGTACCTGCTTTTTACGATTGTTGTGAAGATTGAATGAGGTATTTCACATAAACACTTAGCCCAATGCCTGGTACAGAGTAAGTGCTGAATAAACATCAGCTATCATTTATTAGTGCCTTATTAGGGCTTTCTTGTTCTAAGCTTCAGCTTACCCTGTGATGCTGGCATTTCTGGCCCACCAGTGTAAGTTATAGTCAAGAAGTCTGTATCATAAAATAGAACTACGATACAATCCAGCAGTCTCACTTCTGTGTGTACAGTCATCCCTGCTATCTGTGGGGATTGGCTCTGGGACCTTCCATTGATACCAAAATCCACAGATGCTCAAGTCCCTAATATAAAATGTTGTAGGCCGGGTGTGGTCGCTCATGCCTGTAATCCAAGCACTTTGGAGGCCAAGGCGGGTGGATCACCTGAGGTCAGGAGTTCAAGACCAGCCTGACCAACATAGTGAAACCCCATCTTTAAAAAGAAAAAAAATAAAAATAAAAATAAGTGTTGTAGTGTTTTAGCCAGGCTTGGTAGCGTGAACCTGTAGTCCCAGCCGAGGCTGAGATGTGAGGATTGCTTGAGCCCAGGGGATCAAGGCTGCAGTAAGCCATGATGGTGCCACTGTACTCCAGCTTGGGTAATGGAGTGAGACACTGTCTCAAAAAAAAAAGTTGTAGTATTTGCATATGACCTGTGCACATTCTCCTATATACTTCAAATCATCTCTAGATTACTTATAATACCAAATACAATGTAAATGCTATGTAAATTGTTTTTGTCACTCAGGCTGGAGTGCAGTGGCACAACACGGCTCTCTGCAGCCTCCCTCTCCTAGGCTCAATGCGTCCTTCTGCCTCATCCTCCTGAGTAGCTGAGACTACAGATGTGCACCACTGTGCTGGGCTAAATTTTTTACTTTTTTTTTTTTTTTTTTTTGAGATGGAGTCTCGCTCTGTCACCCAGGGTATGGTTCACCCAGGCTGGAATGCAGTGGCATGATGTGGAATCACTGCAACCTCCACCTCCCAGGTTCAAGCGATACTTCCACCTCAGCCTCCCAAGTAGCTGGGACTACAGGCACGCGCCACCATGCCTAGCTAACATGTATATATATATATATATATATATATATATATATTTGCATTTTTTAGTGGAGATGGGGTTTCGACATGTTGGCCAGGCTGGTCTTAAACTCCTGATCTCAGGTGATCCTCCCACCTCAGCCTCCCAAAGTGCTGAGATTACAGGCTTGAACCACCATGCCTGGCTAATTTTTCTACTTTTTTGTAGAAACAGGGCAACCCTATGTTGCCCAGGTTGGTCTTGAACTTCTGGGCTTAACTGATCCTCCCATCTTGGCCTCCCAAAGTGCTGGGATTATAGGCATAAGCTACTGCCCATGGCCTAAATAGTTGTTATACTCTATTGTTTGTTAGTTTATTTTGAGACAGAGTTTCACTCTTTTTCCCCAGGCTGGAATGCAGTGGCTCACCGCAACTGTTTAATTTACTTGAAATTTGATAAGGGAACAGAATTTAAATGACCTCACCCCACCGCACACACACAATGGTAACTATAATGATGACAGGTTTTTTTTTTTTTTCAGGTATGACACCAGACAGGATCCAAAGAGGAGATTTCCAGTCTCTTCTCTGGGTTTATGGAGACTTAGTTTACCGTTCTCTGTTAGCCTCTTAAAGCACTGGGTCAACCTTAAAAGGGCACAGGAAAGGGCAAATGACAGGTATTTTAATTAATTTGATTGTAATGATCACTATATAATGTATATGTATATCAAATCATGTACAATTGAATATATACAATTTTTATCTGTAAATTAAATTTTTTAATTAAAAAATATTGACTGCTGCAAGCTCAAGAGACTAAAAGGAAAAATAAAATGGATTCTGTGTCTCAGGCATCTCCCGGTTCTTCATTTACCTGTGGCTTTACTCACACTTCTTGCCTCGCCCTGCAAGGGACCCGTAGCTGGTTCACAGCCACTGGGGAGCACCCTCGAGTTAGGGCTGATCTGTTCTTCCTCCTGACAGGTGCTTCAGATCCCAGCCAGCAAGGATCACTTTCAGAAACTTTCACTTTCATATCTAGCCAGAAGTGGAAAGTGGGCATGCCCTTCCAAACACTTGGCAGGAAGCTGGTTCCCAACCACAAGAAGCAATAAAACCAAGGCCACTCCTGCAGAAGAAGGCTTCTAACAGCTCAGGATTCAAGCTCTATGGAGGTAACTTCCAGCCACAGTAGCAGTGTTTGTAAGAGTGGCTTTGTCAGTATTTATCAGAGCTCCCCTTCACTCTCGTCACATTCCCTGAGGACCTCCTTGCACACCTCACCTTTTGTGGCTGAATCACCCGCCTGCAGAACTAGAAAACAAAGAAGGTGGGCCGAACGCGGCGGCTCACGCCTGTAATCCTAGCACTTTGGGAGGCCAAGGCTGGCAGATCACTTGAGGTGGGGCATTAGAGATCAGCCTGACCAACATGGAGAAACCCTGTCTCTACTAAAAATAAAAAAAAAAAAAAAAAATTAGCCAGGTGTGGTGGCGCATGCCTGTAATCCCAGCTACTTGGGAGGCTGAGGCAGGAGAAGCACTTGAGCCTGAGAGGCAGAGGTTGTGGTGAGCTGAGATCATGCCATTGCACTCCAGCCTGGGCAACAAGAGCGAGACTCCATCTCAAAAAATAAAAAAAGAAAAAAGAAAACAAAGAACATGAATTCAGGACAGTTACATGCAAAAATGCTGTTAGGCTGAGCCAAGACAAAGATTGGAGGACACATTTGCAGAGAAATATGACTTTTTTTTTTTTTTTTTTTTGAGACAGAGTCTTCCCCTGTTGCCCAGGCTAGAGTGCAGTGGTGCCATCTCAGCTCACTACAGCCTTCACCTCCGTGGTTCAAGCCATTCTCCTACCTCAGCCCTCCAAGTAGCTGGGATTACAGGCATGCGCTACCACACCTGGCTAATCTTTGTATTTTTAGTAGAGGCAGGTTTTTGCCATGTTGGCCAGGCTGGTCTCAAACTCCTGACCTCAAGTGATCCACCCGCCTCGGCCTCCCAAACTGCTGGAATTACAGGCATATACTCCAGCACCCAGCCCTGACAGTGTATTTTTGACTGTCTTTTAAATTTTTTCAGGATTTCCATTTTTTTATTAATCTGTAATGAGAACTTGGAGACATTTGGAGAAAATCTGAATGTAGAATCTTTCTAGATAAGAACAGTATTCTTCTAGTCATTCATAGTCATTTCAACCTAATCCTTATTTCAATGATTTTTTTTTTAGCAATTATCCCTTTTTGAGAAATTCCAAGACATCTAATATGGATCTTTCTTCTTATCTTTAAAAAAAATTAATAGACTTTATCTTTTAGAGCAGTTTCAGGTTTATAGAAACATTGGGCAGAAACTATGGAGAGTTTCTACACACCTCCTCTTCCCAGGCACACCGTTTCCTCTACTATTAACTCTTGCGATGTTAGTTACTACTTATTAGTGTGCTACATTTGTTACAATTGACAGATCAATATTGATACATTATTATTAACTCAGGTTCATAGTTTATATTAGGGTTTGTTCTTTGTGTTGTATAGTTCTATGAGTTTTGACAAATGCCTAATATCATGTACAGTATCAGAATAGTTTCACTGCTCTAAAAGTTCCCTGTGCTCCATCTATTCATCCCTCCTTCCCTTCTAATCCCTGGCAACTGCTGATCGTTTTACTGTCTCTATAGTTTTACCTTTTCCAGGTTATTGTCAGAGCACTGGTTCATGCCTGTAATCCCAGCACTTTGGGAGACCAAGGCAGGTGGATCACCTGAGGTCAGGAGTTAGGGACCAGCCTGGCCAACATTGGTGAAACCCTGTCTCTACTAAAAACTACCAAAATTAGTTGGGCATGGTGGTGGCACGCACCTATAGTCTCAGCTACTCGGGAGGCCGAGGCATGAGAATCTCTTGAACCCAGGAGGCAGAGGTTGCAGTGAGCCAAAATCACACCATTGTACTCCAGCCTGGGTTACACAGCCAGACTCTGTCTCAAAAAATAATAATAATAAATAGAATATATACAGAGAGTCACACAATATGTATCATTTTTCAGGTTGGCTTCTTACATTTAGCAATATGAATTTAAGTTTCCTCCATGTCTTTTTTGTTTTGTTTTTTGATTTTTGAGATGGGGGTTTTACTGTTTTTCCCCAGGCTAGTTACAAACCTCCATATTTTTTCCTGGCTTGATGGCTCATTCTCCACCCCCCCATTTTTTTTTATTGTGATAAAATACACACAACATAAAATTTACCATTGTAAACCTTTTGGGGAAGGCGATGGAGTCTTGTTCTGTCACCCAGGTTGGAGTGCAATGGCATGATCTTGGCTCACTGCAACCTCTGCCTCCTGGGTTCAAGCAATTCTCACGCCTTAGCCTCTAGAGTAGCTGGAATTACAGGCACACACCATCACACCCAGCTAATTTTTGTATTTTTAGTAGAGACGTTGGCCATGTTGGCCAGGCTGGTCTCAAACTCTTAACCTCAGGTGATCCATTCATCTTGGCCTCCCAGAATGCTGGGATTATAGGCATGAGCCACTATGCCCAGCCCACTGTAACCGTTTTTAGGTGTACAGTTTAGTGATATTAAATACATTCATAATGTTCTGGTGCCATAACCAGTATTCAGCTCAAGAACCCTTTTCAGGCCGGGCGCGGTGGCTCAAGCCTGTAATCCCAGCACTTTGGGAGGC